GCGCATTGTTGATGCCTCAAAATAGCCACGGTCACATGCACGTGTTCCCTTGTGTGGTCGTGCATTTAGAAGAGGTCGGGCTCCAGCCTCCCCTTACTTCGGGACAGTGCATGATAGCCAGCTGCCTTCCTGCTCCCTTGAGCAATTGCCGACGGCCTTCATCACCCCCATACTTCCCAGCCGCTGCCGGGGACGAGCGCGGCCCCGCCCTTCACGGGCGAGGCGTGGCGCCACTCCGTCCCCGAGTCGGAGCTGGTGTGCGAGGAAGGCGAGGCGCCCTGCGCCCTGCCCTACAGCCCCGCGGCAGGGCGGCGCGTCGTCGACCCGCGCCGCGCGCACGCGGGCGAGTACGCCGCGCTCGGCGCCTGGGTGCACACCCTGCCGCCCCCCGCCTTTGCGCTGGGCGAGGAGAGCGGCGCCGACAGCCCGCGGAGCTGGGCGGCCTCGCCCCCCCGCCCCGGCCCCCTGGGGGCGGCCGAGCAGCGGATCCCGGTCCCCGACGAGGGCGGCGCCGGCGGCGGAAACGGCGGACTGGGCCTGCTGGACGTCCCCGCCGCTCCCCGGCACGTGGACGCGTACGGCGCGTCCTCCGCCAGCCCGCCGCCGCTGCCGCCGCCGGGCGGGCCGCGCCTGATCCCCCCCGAGGAGGGCTACTGGCAGGCGCTGGGCGTGCCGGGGTCGATGCTTGGCGCGCCCGCGCAGCTGGACCAGCTGCGCGACGCCGCCCGGGCCAAGAAGCTGCGCTGGGGGTGCCCGGTGTACCGCGAGGGGGACGGCATCTGGCTCCAGCTGCGAGGTGGGGGTGATGTGGGGAAAGGAGTTTGTGCGAAGCTGCAGCGCCAAGGGCTGGAGGCTTGACGAGGGAAGAACGAATCTGGGCCAGCACAGGACGCGCCGTACCACACCGGCACAGCATGTCACTGCTCTGCTAGGAGGCGGACACCCTGATGCAACTGCCGGCACGCTGCCCACGCCGTCGCCCACCCTCTCTCCCTGCAGAGGAGGCCTTCACGGCCGAGGAGGTGGGCTGGCCAGGTGCGGCGATGCTGGAACCTCCGAACGCTGCCGTCCCCGGCTGGCTGCCACCTGCCGGGGACGGCGACGGCGCGGGGCCGGGCAACAACGGCGCCGCTCCAGGCCTGCGAGCCTGGTTGGGCGCCGAGGCACGGAAGTCCCGCGAGGCGCTCGCCGCCGCCGCCAGATCCGTGCCCCTCCTGACCCGGGCCACGCCCACTCCTGACGCCGGGAAGTTCCGGCCCGTCCCGTCCTCCGCCGGCGAGGCCGCCACCCTGGCTGCGACGCGGCGCTGGCTTGAGTGCGTGGGCCCGGCGGCCTGCGCGGCCGTCGCGGCGGCCAGGGAGACCTCGCACAAGCCGCTCAGACGCCGATGGGGCGGCGGCGCGGGCCTGGCGGCGCCCGCCGCCGTGCGCGGCGCGCTGATGAAGGAGGCGGCGGGGGTGAGGAACGCTGCGCACGAGGTGCTGAACAGCGTCCTGATGGCCGTCCTGCAAGGCCACGCCGGCGGCGGCAAGGGCGAGGCGGCGGCGGGGGCGGCGCGCACGGCCGGCAACCCTCGCGCCGGCCTCAGGGGCGGCGCCTGAGTTGGTATCTGAAGGTAATGCATGGTACCTGCATCCTTTCCCCCCCCTCTTCCTCTGCGCTGCTCCCATCAGCTGTGACTCACAGTCTGCTGGCACCCCAAGGCCCTTCTACCGGGGTCGCGCCTCCCAGCGCTGCATGCACCCGTCCGGGCATTCATGACAGCAGGCCGTGTCCCCAGCAGGCCACGCTGTTACCCCCATCACCACTGCTAGACTTGGCACTTGGAGACAGGAAAAGGAGCTCGAAAGTCCCACTGTGATCCTGACCGCTGTGCCTCAGTCAGCCAGATCTTCCGTTCCAGGTAATCCTACAGGGTCCGTGGCAGGCACACAGACATGCACGGGCCGGCGCGCAATCAGTGGCGGGGCGCCCTCTGCTGGAAGTCTTGGCGGGCCTCCTGCGCATAGTGGGATGGAGGAAGGAGAGGGGTGACGCACAAGCAGATCCTTGCGCGTGTGCAGGGGGGGCGGTGACCAAGGGTGGCCTGCATGGCCGGAGTCGGCACCCAATGCAATGAGCCTCATCCGCAGCCGTCCTTTGCGTCGAGCTCGGCAGGACGACAGCAAATATGAATCGCGTTACAGCTGGGACCTCGTCCCAACACAGCGTTGAATCCCGCCCACAACAACCAGCCTAGCCAGGAGCCCCAGCAGTGGCTCCCGACAACCCCGTCCCCAACCATGCCCAGTGTCCAGCGACCGCCCACCCCACCTTGGCGATGGAGATGCCGGGCAGGGACCCCAGGCCGATCTCCTTGAGCATGTCGGCGGTGTCGGCGTCGACCTCGATGGCGGCGGTGTTCAGCGCCGACTCGTCGGGGATGAAGTCCATGCGGCGCTCACGCTCTTCCTCCTGCAGCTTGAGGGAGATGCCGCGCACTGGACCGCGCTGGATGCGCTTCATCAGGTGGGTGGTGAAGCCCGCGATCTTGTTGCGCAGGCGCTTGGACTGGATGATGGCCACCTCCTCCGCGATGCGCTTGTTGGTGTCAAAGTCCAGGGTCAGGCGGTTGTAGTACTTCTCGATGATGACCCGGCTGGCTGCAGGGAGGGACATTGAGTGTAGAGAGGGAGAGGGGAGTCAGCTTCGTGCTATGGGGGGGGAAGGAGCCATGCATCTGTGGCTACCCTGGGCGGTGGTGTGTCGGCAGTGAAGCCTGCGGCAGGGCTGGTGCGACACCCCCGCCCATTCCCACGCTATGCAGGAACGGGTGTTGAGCCGAGGAAGCGGATCTGGCAGCCTTCGAGATATCCCATCATCAGTATGCAGGCGCCATAATCAACGTGGGCCAACTCCAGAATGGCCCGCTCACCCTTCTTCACGGTCTTGGTGCGCACGCGACCTGCAGAGACAATAGGGGAGGGAGGGAAGGGTGACGGGCTATCTGAGCAGCAGTCAATAACACACCAAATGATTCGGTTGGAGGCAATCGGCGTCTCCAGCTCCGGCCCAGGTGCATGGGCTCCCGGCAGTGCCACCGCCGCTCAGGCATCCCAGGGCCCTGCTGCTGCCACCAGCACCCCACGCACCCATGGTGACGGGTGAGGCGGCTCGTCGGGAGGTACCTACAACTTCGAAGAGGGCGAGGCTGGAGGAGCGGTCCCCCAAGAGTTGCCGCCTCTCCCTCTCGTTCCGTAGTAGAAAGTGAGGAACCTCCTGGTGCTGGGCCATTCTTCCCGCCAAAATGCGTGTTCTCCGATTTGTGCAGCGCGCGCGATTCATGTCGGGGACGTCCCCATCGGCAACATTGTTCCTGTCGAATCGCGTCAACGACCACCGCCTCATCAGATTATAAGTCATGGAAGGTACGCATTGAGCAATTTTTTGGATCCCATGACTCGCCCGTGCGTCTGCATGGTACGGTGAAGTGAGTTTGTATTTTCTGCGCCTCGTGTTCCGATGCGGAGCAAGGAGTAATGGACGAGTTGTCGAATGGACCGCGAATGGATTGGCTGACTGTGGGATCAAGCTTCGATGCTGCCAGCTTCCGTCAGAAGCAAGAGGAGGCCCTGAAGGCCAGCACTGCTGCCCAGGGTGAGCATGGGTGGCTGATCACGGCAGCCCTGCAGATGTACGGGGTGATAACTCACCTGTAATCACCCTTCAACACCTGATGCGTCAGATGCAAGCTTTCAAAGAGCTGCGGAGGCCCTTGCTGCTTCCAGCAGCAGTGAGGATGAGCAAGGCAATGACAGCCCAGGACCTGCATCTCCACGCTCCAGCGCCCACGACGCCAGGGCACAGCCGGCGCCCAAGTCTCGGCGGCGGAGGAGAGAGGAGGATAGGTTGAAGCACAAGAAGAAGCACAAGAGGAGGTCCTCCCGCGATGAGGAGATCGAGGTGACAAGCCTCGGAGGGCATGAGCTGCAGAAGGGTGCAGGGTGACATTTTGAACCCAAGGTTGAGATGGGGTTGATCACCCAGAGTGCAGCCCTACGGTTGGAGTCATATCTCAACAACCCATCTTCCACAATGCCACCCCTCTGCAGTTAAAATCCAAGCTCGAAAGAGCAGCAGGTGTGGATGCACGTGCGTCTCAGGTGTCTCGCTGGGCCCCTCGTCAGGGTCACGATGTCCAGGGCCCCCTCTACTACTTTGACACCGGGTATGTGCCCAATCGGGCCTGCTGCAATCGCATTGCCAGACTGGGTGCTCGTGATGCAGACGAGGGACCAGGGGCGGCATATGATCGACGCGTGGATGTCATCTTTGGCTGAAGGGCGGCGAAGGGCGATGTGGCTTTCTTGTGTGATGTCAAACGCTTCTTCACTTTTCTGAGTTCTGACGCCTGCCCTTGTCCTCAATTTAACGTGCAGTCAGGACGCTTCCAACGTGGCCTTTGAGGGCCTGTACCGGCGCGACATCCCCCTGTATCGCCGTGCAGATCGGAGCGGTTTTGCTGCCAGAAGGCTTCCGCGGCAGGCGGGGTGAGAGGGCAGGCTGGCGGTGGGCTGAGTCCTAATGCTGAGATATTGTAGAGCATCGAAAACCGCGGCCGTGGTGGCTGCAGTGTTTTTCTTTGGTTGACGGACCTTCATGTGACCTGCTGGAATTACTCCAGGAAGAGCCCGGCTCTACAACCCCCCTCCTTCCCATTCACAGACCTACTCAGGGCGGGTCCGAGCAATCACCTTCCCTGCCACGGTACTTCTCGCCTGCGCTCTGGCGTTTGGAGAGGAGCACCCGAATGCGACGCTGGAAGCCCCCTGCACGCTCTCCGGCCACAGCAGACGCCCCTGCCCCCAAGGCGAGCTTCCTGCCAGCTCCCTCTTTCATTCCTCTGGAGACAGGGGTTGCCGAGGGAGGACACGGGCAAGCGCCAGCGACTGGTGAGGCAGAGACCCAAGGCCTGACGACCCTCGACGAGACCTTTGCCAAGACCGCGGCATTCAGTGCCGCCACGCGGGAGCGTTCGCAGGACCTGCAGACCTGGCTCGACTTTGCTGCCTTACAGGCAAGTAAGGGACACGTGGGTGGGTCATATTGATCTTGTGGACTGTTCACAGTGAGGCTCGCGACTACCACGATCATTTTGGCAGCAAGAAGCTTAAGCAGGGTGACTCACATTCAGTCGGCATGCCTCCCTGGTCTCGCTTACGGCCAGTGGGATACCCCAAGCCCATCGCTCGCTCCTCTTGCCGACAGGACGAGGTGGCGCGCTCCATGGCTCGAGGAGGAAAGGGGGTGGAGCGTGCAGCCACGGAGAAGAAGATTGCCATCCTGGAGAGGGCCCTGCACCATCACCCGGGGTCCGAGCGACTCCTCCTGGCCCTGCTGGAAGCCGTGAGTTGGATTAGTTCAGGATTTCACATCGACATCCCACTTGAAGACATATACGAGGACATGGGCTGCATCATGGGGGGGCAATTTCTCCAGGGCACATGCCTCACAATGCCTCTGCCAAAACACTGACACCTGCCTTGATGCTCGATACCAAAATGTCACATTCCTTCAACCCACCCCCCACCCCACCACCGCCATATATCACAGGCCAAGGTGATCTGCGACGAGGCGGAAATGGCAAGGCGGTGGCGCGCAGTGCTGGAGGCCCACCCCGACAGCCCCGCCCTCTGGCGCGCCTTCCTGCACTCCCGGCTCCGCGCCTTCTCTTGCTTCAACGCCATGGAGGTGGAGGCGCAGTACGCCGCGGCGGTACGCTCCGTGGCGGGAGCGCTGGCCCTGCGCCGCGCGCGGGGCGCCGACCTGGCGGAGCTGGAGGCGTGGGAGCGCCAGCTGGCGGGGCTGGCGCTGCAGGGCGTGCTGCTGATGCGCCAGAGTGGGCACACTGAGGCCTTTGTGGGCAGCATCCAGCTCCTGCTGGAGTACACCCTGTGCCGCCCCGACGGTGCGTGCCCTTTTGGGATGAGATCTGGGAGGGGGGGATAGTAGGGAGGGGAAGGAGTAAGGATGTGAGCAGCCGAGGCCCACAGTTGGCCACACTGGGTCTTGGACCACGTGCCCTTGTGCACAGGGAAGCCTGGCCTCTGCGCTGTGCTTGGCCCCTCGATGCGACCAGAACCTAGCGCAGAGTCCTACCCCACTCATTTCCTGGCCCACCTCCTTCCAACCCCCCCCCAGATTGGCCAGAGGATGCCTTGCCAGACATGTTCCCTGACTACTGGGCGGGACGGAGTCCGCTCCTGGGCGAGCCAGGGTCCAGGGGTTGGGCGGCATGGCTGGCAGGCTGGCAGGCCGCGCCCGCCCCTGTGTCTGCCACGGTGCCAAGGCGCGAGCCCGCGGCTGCCGCGGCGGCTCCCGAGGAGAAAGATGAGAGCGGCGCAACTGCCGGAGTGTGGACCGGGTGGGAGGAGCTGGGGCCCGCCATCCGGCGGCGCTTTGGGCACGGGCTGGATGTTGGTGGCCCTCAGGGCGATGGTCTCCAGGAGGCCAAGCCGGAGCCAAGTGACGACCGGGTTGAGGTGGAAGGTGACCAAGGTGACGGGAGCGAGGCGGACGAGCAGGAGCAGGCTATGGAAGAGCCTGGGGAGGAAGAGGAGGAGGAGGAGGAGAGCGAGGAAGCCCTCATGGCCAGGTGAGGGGTGGCAGGGCAGCATCTTCTGCGGTCCAACAGCAGGTCCTGGCAGTGGATCGTGAACCCGAAACTCAGGTGTCAAGCACCCCCTTCCCTCCATCGTTTCTCTGAACCTCCAACACCCACTGCACCCCAGGCTGGGCCTGGAGCTGGAGGCGGCGCTGGAGTCTGGGGAGACCATGACAGATGCGGTGCTTTCCTCCTGGCTGGAGAGCGAGGAGTCCAGGTCTGCTGCCCAGTGGCACCCCCTGCGCGTGCTCGCCCTGGATCCCGGCGGCGAGGCCGACCCAGGGTGCGACGGCCAGCGCGCCGTCGCCTGGGGCCGGGTCTCCCACCTGGCCCTGCCCCTGGGTGAGCGCGTGTGTGGTCGCCATGGGATGCAGGGAGATCTGGGGCGGCGGGATCTAGGGGGACGCAATGACAATGAAACCAATCAGAGCAGCCTATGATTCTCAGTTGCGCCAATTCCCTGATCCCTCCCCTGCAACCCACCCCAGCCTCCCCCAGGGCTCGTGAAGAGGTGGTACTGGGCTGCCTTACCCTGCTGGGCACTTCCCTGGAAGGCGTGGCGCTGGCGAGCGAGGGCCCGGTGGCGCGGGCGTTGGCGGAGGTTGCCGAGACGCTGGAACCCCTGGCCGACATGTCCTGGCCTGAGCTGCAGGTGGCGGAAGGGGCACCTCTCTCCGGTGCCACAACTGATCGCGGGCTGCAGGCCTGGTACGCCTGCCACCCCACCCGCCGCGACTTTGTGCTGCGCCTGCTGCGGCAGCTGGTGGAGCTCAAGGACCCCGCCGCGTGCCGCCGGCACGCTGCCGCCGCCCTTTTACATCTGACGAGGGAAGAGAGGGGCGTACAGGCCGCGCGTGCAATGGCCAAGGAACTTCTGGCGGCGCGCAGGGAAGACCTGGACCTCTGGGAGGCCTACTTCCACCTGGAGTGGGCCGCTGGTAACGTCAAGGTGGGTGCAAGGGTGGGATTTGGGTGCGTGCTCCCTTTCCCCGGGGTCATGACACTTTGAGAAATTGGGCCTGAAGGGGGAGAGGGGGTGCAACAGGTTGACAGGCCGATGAACCCTGGATGGGCTTCATAACATGGTGCTCGGACAGATTTGATTTCTTCTTGGAAGCAAGGCACCAAGGAGTACCCCCCTCCCCCCACTCTTATCAGGCGGCGCGGAAGGTGGCCCTGGCATGCCTATCCAGCGCGAGCCACGGCCGGCTGACAGACCCCGGCGCCCCCCTCGCCCCCCTGGCACTGGCCGACTGCCCGGCTGGAGAGTGGGGCGAGGCCCGGGCCGGGGCTGTCGCTGCCGGCGGGGGGTTGCCACCCCTCCACGCTTCGCACGCTGGCCTGGCTGGGCAGCGGGGGGGGGGTCGCCTTCGCTGCGGACCCCGGGGCAGACGCGCTGGGGGCCCCTGCCCTCATTGCCGCACGCAAGGGATTTCAGGTGCTTGTACCTGTGATGGGAGGAAGGGGGGGAAGGGTGAGGAAATTGTACAGGCTGTGGATTCATGGCCGGATCTATGTCTAGCATGGAAGTTTGGGGCCCAGTACCTGTGGTCGCTTCCTGCGTGCTGCGCTGTACCTCAGTACATAGTAAGCGCCGTGCACTCGATTCTTTGACGAGCAATCACTGACAAAGTCTCTCCCGCTCTACTCAGGCTCATCTTTCGTCCATCACTGGAAAGGGCGGCGCCGTGCTCACCTGGCAGAGCGCCGCCATGGTGGCAGCAGCCGCCGCGTTCGAGCAGGCGGCCGGCGGCGGGCCCGCCTCCGCGCTGATCCTGCTGGACGGCACACTGCGCGCGCTGATCCCGCCGCGTCAGGCATGCAACGACGGGGAGGGCGGGCGGGTCCTCGGCTCAGCCTCCGCGGCCGCCGAGGCGCTGGCCCTCGCCCGCGCCGAGCTGGCGCTGGACGCCTCGGCGCTGCAGCCGCCTGCCGTCACGCCCGCGGCCGCCGCGGACTGGCTGCTGCGGGGTCTGCTGGCCGGCGCACTGCCGGCGAGTGCGACCGCGCTCGCCCTGGCGCGCCGCGCAGTGCCGGGCGCGGGCCTCGCACGCGTGCGGCGCACGCTGCGCTGCGTTGCAGAGGCCGCGCCGACACCGGAGGCCCTCGCCGCTACGGTGGGGCTGGAGGAGGCCAGCGGCGCGCCGCGGGGCGTGGTGCGCCGCGCGCGCGAGCGCGGGCTGGGAGGTTCCCAGGCGGCGGCGCTGGCGCCGGGCGCCTGGCGCGCGCTGGTCCGCGGCGAGGCGCGGGCCGGGGCGGGGCCGGAGGCCGTGCGCCGCGCTTTCCTCCGTGCCGTCGCGGCTTGCCCCTGGTCCAAGGCGCTGTGGCTGGACGGGGTGGCGCTGCTCCTGGGCGCCACACCGGCGCGGGAGCTGGGCGACCTGGTGGACGTCATGCGCGGGAAGCAGGTGGCGCTGCGCACCGAGACGCTGGAGGCGGTGCTGCAGCAGCTGGAAAGCGCGCCGGCAGCAGGGATGGGAGAGGAGCGCCCGCCCGTGGGCCGCGCCTGACGCGGGCACGGTGTGGCGCTGCTGGAGAGCACCGAGGTTGACCATGAGCATGCTCCGAGCGAGCCGGATGTCGTTCAGACTTTGGGTATGGCGCAGGGCAAGGAGCCCCATTCCCACTGAGTCACCCCTCAGACCCCATCAAGAATCAAGTATGTGATACAGGCCCATGGGATCAAGATATAGACTCTCCAGGTGGGCCTCTCTGCCTTGAAAGGTGGCCTCTTCGCCCCTACAACCGACATGTGCATACCTCCCATCCTCACGGATCGAGGTTCTCCCTCTTTTGCTATACCCCCGGGTCAATTCCGACACCTGCTCGCGAAGCGCTAGCGCTAAGATGAAGCAAAGCGCACTCCCCTCACCTGCGCCATGTACAAGCAGATCCGTCCCTCCTCATTCCACCAGACGGTGGTGACTGTGCGTTCAGTGGAAAAGGGGAGTGTCGAGAGCGCTGGCCCGGGGCAGGGAAACACCGCGACCGACATCCCTAGTGCCAGGTGCGGGCAGGAGCTGCCCCTTGCGCGAGTCAGCCACTGGAGAGCTGCTCAGATTATGTTTTGTAGCCCAAGGACTGCATCGGAATGGATCAGGCTGCGATCCCGACTGTCGGAGGGTTGTTCATGGTCTCAAGCCGGACGCGTAGACCCGGCTCAAGTTCGCAGTCTGGCCACCGCTGGCCCACGCGGGCTTGCAACATGTAGCTCGGCAGCTGAGTTTTACTGCCCTGCAACCCCTCCCGGCCCCCGCACAGGAGTTACCGACAGGTCTTTCTAGATCCATGTCGGGTGCCGAGGATTTGAACACCATGGAGCCTGTGCACGAGGCGCATGCCACCTCCCCGGCCCTCATGACGGTGCGCTCCCTGCTGATATACGTAATGCTGGCTCATGCGTGCGTGAGAGCCCCACCGCCCCGCTCTCCGTGACCGACGCGGTCCCGGCCTTTGCTGACCCCTGCAGGGCAACGAGGACCGGGCTTTCATGAGCCCCCGGCAGGCCTCCTCCGAGCCCGAGCACCCATCCAGCCCCGCTCACTCCACGAATTCTTGGGAGTTTCTGCGCGAGGACGACTTCCAGGAGGGTGAGGCGGCGCGTGAGCTGCCACTGAGCACCTCTGTCGTGCTGGCAGGCTCTGTGGACGGCGAGGGGTCGGACACCGTCGTGCCTGTGAACCCCGAGGACCACGCCTCCACTCCCAGCATGGACGGCCTCATCGCAGCGGAGCCTGAAGACGGCGAGAGCGGGCGCTCCATGGTAGAGGTCTCCCCATGCATTAGCAGCCTGGCAACGGTGGGTCAATGTGGTAATCATACCGCCGTGCGGTGCTGGACCTTATCAAGGGTGGCGGTGGGCGGCCTGTGCAGGCCCTGCTGTTGAGGGGTGGGGCTGGCGTGCTACTGTGCGCTGCTGCTCGTGCTGACTGTACAATTCCTCCCGCCCTCGTCCCGCCCGCTCCCTCTCAAGTCCCTCCCGCCTGTCCCACGCTGAGCTGCCTCCACCCTGATCCCACAGGACGGCGCCGCCTCCGAGCAGGCCTCCGACTCGGATTCCCACTTCACCAACGAGCTGATTGCGGCGGGGGAGCCGGAGGAGTGCCCCGTCACCCCCATGCTCTCCCAGGGCGCCTCCCCGGCCGCCAGTGAGGCCGGGGCTGACCCCGAGATCCAGCCTGTCCAGCCCATCCCCTCTGTCGAGCCCGTCCCCTCCGCCTACCCCGCCCCCCTCCTGACCCGGGTCTGCATGGCTGCGGCCAGCGAACTGGTGACTCTCACCCGCCAGGTCAGCAGCATGCTGGCTGCGCTGGGGTCCATGGGCGAGGACTGCGCGCGCGGCGCCTGGGCCTCGCTGGCCGGGCTGGTGGCGGGCCTGCGCGCCGGGCTGGGCGTGGGCATGTGGGCTTCGCTGCCGCGCGGCCTGGGCGGCGCCCCACTCCTGGCCGGCGACCTTCCGGGGCACGTCGTGCGCAGCGCGCAGGGCGTCGCCGCGCGGCTGCGCAAGCGCGGCGCGGCCGCCGCCGCCGCCGCCCCGGAGTGGCCGGCGCTGGTGGCGGCCGCGGGGTGTGCGGCCGCCTGCGTGGCGCTGCACCGCTCCGCGGCGGCCAACGCGCGGCTGAGCGCGCGCCTGGCCCAGCGCGAGGGCGAGCTGGCGGAGCTGGTGTCGCGCATCATGGCGCTGCAGCGCACGCTCACGCGCCACCACGCCGTGCGCGCTGTGCCCATCATCGCGCACGCCTCCTGCTCCTGGCACGGCGTGGCGACGGCGGGGGCCTCCCTGTGACCGGGGGCCGCCACTGGTGGTTCCCCGGCGCCCCTCGCTCGTTTACTGGCGCCTGAGAGCGGGGGCGGTGGGCAGGCGTCGCATGGTGACTGGGCCATGCTGGCGCAGAGCCATCGGCCCCCCCTTCCCCGCCATCCCCCCACCCCACGAGACCAACAAGTATCCCCTCACGCCTTCTCGACCGTAGCACCTTGTCGCCGTCTCTAGACCACCGCCATGTGCCCTCGCCTAGCTTGTGCAGGCCGGTGTGCGGAACCGCCGCCCCCCCCCCCCGGCAAAAGAGAGCCTTGAAAGGCTCTGCCCTTTTGGGTGCGGTGACCCCACTCCTGCCCCTCACCACCTCGTTTTGTGTGTTTCCAATTGACGGGCAGGGGCAGCGTGCGAAGCAGGCGAACACGGCAGCCCGGCCCGCGCCCTCCGGACCTACATGTAAGTGCCAGCCGCCCCTGTACCCGGCCGTGCCTTGCCTACCTGCATCTGAAAGGCAGGACCTCCAGGAGCCAGGGCCTCTCGTCCCACCGCTGCATGCACTCGCTTGCCGCCCCCCCCCCGGCCGTGCGCTCATCTCTCGGGAGTGATTTTCCCTGAACCTGTACATTATTCCCACCCTCCCTGACCACAAAACCTGCATGCACAACCAGACGTTGCTTGGTGTAAACATACCGACACGGAGAAAATTGAGCGGGGGATGGGCCACGCTCTATGAGGCTGTCGTGGGTGACCGAGGGCTGGTCACCAGGATCCGATGCCCGACAGCATCCCACTCCCCGCCGGACGCGGACTGTGCCCGCGACGCATGCTGAGCATGCTGCGCCTGGGCCGGCCCCTCACAGGTCCAGGCTCCGGATGCTGCGGCGCTGGGAGAGCAGTGGGTTCTGGGAGGCATGGCTGCAGGGATTGTTCAGCGCCGCGACGTGATTCCTCCGCTCCTCCAGCAGCCTGCATTTGAAGAGGGGTGTGCAGGGCATGAGGCGAGCAGCAGGGAATGCAGAGGCGGGTGGGGTTGCAGTGATCAGCATACAGACTGCGTGCCTCCATGCGGTCACCACCACAAGTCATCCACCACCCTCCCCTCCTACCCCCACCATCCCTCAAGGACGCGCCTGGTGACGCGTTTGGTCCAGCTCAGCACGGTCTTCCTTTCCAGAACGATGCGCCCGGCTTCGCCATCCTCCTTGGTCCAGAGCCTGAGGCGGCGCAGCACCCCCGCCACCCCCAGGCCCACCCGAGCCGCCGGTTGGGCGGGGGGGTGCGCAGGGGGCGCAGCGCTGTGCGACGGCTTCAGCACAGAGGAGGCATTGTAGGGGGGCACCTTCAGCACGAGCGTTGCGATTGCCTCGTCTTCGCCTGCCATGATCAGGCGCTGCATGGCAGCCACCTGCATGGTGATCGGGGTGGGAAAGGGTGAGGCGCACGACTGATGGCAGGGCACTAGTTCCCTTGCCCGAGACGGGCGGCTCTGTTCAGGTGCTCAGCATGGTTATTTGCATGGTCTCCACCCCCTGCATCCACGATCGCTGCCTCTGCAAAGCCCGGCGCACCACAGACAGGGCGTAGACCTCCGCCACAGCAGGGCTCATGCCACGCAGATCAATCTTTGACCCGCGCCGGAGTGAGAAGTTTGGCAGCGCCCCACTGCCAGTGTGGAGGGACGGGGACTGGTGAGGCCGGGTCTTTGATGCGCGTGATTGCAGCGCATTCCCCCGGGCTGGAGACGTGGCAGCCCTCCGATGCGCCTTTCGGGGTCCGGCGACCGACACCCTGCATGCCTCAAACATCATCAGATGACGGCGTCACCCCTCCTTCCTCGACGCAGGCCCCCTGTCCCACCTGGCGATGCACTCCTCCAGGATGGCAAGGGCGTTGCGGTGGTACACGGCCTCGATCCCCACCTTCCAGTCCAGGGGGGAGGCCGGCATGCCTGGCCGGCCATATCTCATGGACCCCAGGCCCTGCAAGAGGAGAAGGCAGGAGTGTGTCGATGATACGTTCAACTGCTGGACATCGAGGCACGGCCTCCACAGAAGCAGACCTGCGGCCTCCACCCTCCCACCCAACAGCAAATACACCCGCGAGCCCACTGTCGCACCTGGAAGGGCTGCCAGGCCAGCTCGTGTCCCTCACGCTCCGGGCGGGAGCGGGGGACCCAGGGCACGCGAAGGCAGCGCAGCGCCAGCTCCAGGAGCCGGGGCTGGCTGCCGGGGCCCCCGGCCTGGCGCTTCGTGGTGTGCTTGAATATCTCGCTGGCCTGCAGGTGCCAGTCCACCTCCCCCATCCCGCTCAGCCGGGCAGGCCTGCACTCCTCCGGCCACAGCGCCTGTGCAAGGGGTCGAGGCCTCCCGGGTCAGACAAAAGTTCTCGTTCAGAGGCCCAGCCACAGCAATCCAGCCACGATCCGCTCAACATGCCTTCCCAGGGTCACCCTGCTCACTTGGAGCAGACGGCGGCCCTGCTGCGTACGGTATGCCTCGGGCGCCTCGCCCGCCGGCGCGCCAGACCCGGCCTGCCTCGAGGCAGGCCGCTGCCCTGCGTAGCACATGCGCAGGAGCAGCGTGGCGTGCGCTTCCTCCACGTCCACATCCATGAGCTTCATGGCCCTGTGAGTGGTGGGTATATAGAGCGGGAGGTGTTGGAGAATGCACATTCGACTCGTGAAGCCGTGCCCGTCTGCACTCTCAACTTTGTGGCAGCAGGTTGGTGGAAGGCTGGTCAACGATCACAACGTGACCTGGCGGGTGAGCCACCACGCAGGGCTGTGGTCCACATCAAGGTTCCAGCACACCCCTGCCCCAGTCGGCATCAGACGAGCGTATTTCCCCCCTCTCCTTCCCTTCCCCCCTTCCCCCGACTCGCCTGTGCACTTGCAGGCCCAGGGCGGACTCGCCGCAGGAGTGGCAGGCGGCCAGCACGGCGCCAAACACGTCCTGATCGGGGCGGACCCCCTTCCCGACGGCTTCCTCCACCAGCATCACCACGTCGCCCAGACTCCCGGCCGCCGCCGCAGCCTGCAGCGCGCCCACCAGGGAGCTGCCGCGCAGCTGCAGCTCGAGGCCCCCACGCGTGGCGTGGACGTGCATCGCCGGCTCCGCGCCGGACGGAAGCGCTCCCTTCTTCGCCCCCCCGAGCCTGGACGGCGCCGCCGCGATCCCCTGCGCGGCCATCTCCACCTGCAGGCTGGCGGCCACCCCCGGCCGCCCCGCCCGCTCCGCCAGCTGGATGAGCACAGAGTATGCTGTCGCGTCGGGCGTCACGTTGTTCCTACACAGCATGTGGTTAGGGGGTGGGAAGAAGGCGTGATCCCCGGAACAGGCATGCGTCATCGTGCGCGCGCAGCTCATTCAGGACAAGGATTCTGCGACCTCACACCCGGTTCGCGAGGACCTCTACCATGTGTGATCACGGCTGCCCCATTCAGGCACCCAGGCAGCACACCATCTCGGACTCCAACCCCCCCCCCGCCCGTTCCCCCCAAAACACACCTGCGCATGTCGTCATAGATGCGCAGCCCAGCCTCGGCGTCGGCATCCGCCCCACCCCGTGCACTGGCCACGATGGCGGCGGTGTAGAGCGGGCAGGCCTGGCTGCCCGCGCCGACGCCGGCCGCCAGCGCGGCGGTGTAGGCCGCCCGCACGTCTGTGGGGCTCCCCCCGCGCGCCGCGGCGTCCACCAGCGCGGTGTGCGTCCAGGTGTCAGGCCGGCACCCGGCCCGCGCCATCTCCCGCGCCAGGCTCTGCGCGCGCTGGAGCTCGCCCGCGCGCCCCGCGGTGGTGATCAGCGCATTCCAGGCGGCGGCGTCCGGAGTCAGGCGCGCGGCACGCATGTCGGCCAGCACCGACAGCGCGCGCTCCAGCGCCACCAGCGCGCCGCGGCGGTCGCCGGCGCCGGCGAGCGCGGCGCGCGCCGCGCACACGGCCACCAGCGTGGTGCAGAGCTGGCGGTCCAGCGGCAGCCGCGCCTCTCGCGCCCCGCGGTAGACGCCAAAGGCCGCGTCCACGTCGCCCGTGACCGCGCAGGCGCGGAGCACCTGCGTCAGCATCGCAGCGTCCACGCCGTCGCGCCGGGTGCGGGCCATGTCTAGCACCCGCTGCGCGGCGCGCAGGTCCCCCGCCGCCGCGCAGACGCCCAGGACCATGTTGTAGGTGCGCTTGTCCCCCGCGCTGCGCGGCAGCAGCTGCAGGAAGCGCAGGGCGGCGGGCACGGCGCGGTTCTCCGCCGCGCGCCGCAGGAACACCGTCTGGCGCAGCCTGTTTTTCGGCGTGGGTGGTCGGGTGAGTGGGGCGCACCGAGCAGGAGATCCTCAAGGAGCGGGGATGGATCGCTGGGATGTGGAGGAGTGGCAGGGGCACTCACGCTCGGCAGGGCTGCGGGAATGGTGGGGCTGCATCCAGCCGGGCCCTGCCACGTTCCCCACCAGCACCAGGATCCCTATACCAACCAACCCTCCACCTAACCCCCCTCTCACCTCTCCAGCACGTCCAGGCGGCCCGCGGCGCGGCAGGCCTCCAGCAGTGCCAGCGTGGCGTCCAGCTGCCCCGAGGCACACAACGCATTGTAGCGGTGGAAGATGGCCTGGCGCGGCAGCGTGTCCAGGCTGTCCCCGCCGGTGAGCGGCCAGGTCACGCGGTGCTCGTGGCCCGGGCTCAGGGCATCCCGCTCCCTCACCGCCGCGCCGTGGTGGCTGGGCAGCGTGTGGCTCAGCGCCAGGGGGGTGGCGGCGGCCGTTTGCGACGGCAGCAGCTCAAAGTCGAAGGAGCGGGTGGCGGCGGCGGCGTGCGCGCCGGCGGGCTCCTTGGTGCGCTTGGAGGCGGCCTCGCGGCCGCGTTTGGAGGCGGTCTCGTGGCCGCGCACGGACGTCTTGGCCTTGCCGTTGCGCCGGGCGTCCGCCTTGAAGCGGTCGATGCCCGCCTGGAAGAGCAGGTGGGGCTCGGCGGGAACGTCTACGTGGAAGCCCCGCTCGCAGGGGGGGCCGAAGCTGTAGGTGATGCTGCCGTCGCTGTGGCGCGTCAGGCTGATCAGGCCCATGCCATGCAGGCTCAGCTGGGGGAGCTCGTGGCCCCTGCCATGCACGTGTGGGGAGAGGGGGAGCGGGTTTAACACCTTTGGGGAAGCTATCCACCAAGGGACAGACAAGCCCACAAGGCAGACACTCTCAGAGGCGCCCAGAGGCGTGCACAATGGCTGGAATGGGGCATTACAGGCATGCTGGGCGGGCCCTGCATGCCCGGCAGTGTTCCGAGCAGGGGTACCTCGCGATGCACCGGGCGGTGACAAGGGAGGTCTTGCCCAGCTCCACGGGGGCGGGGCCAAACCGATGCTTGAGGGCCATGGTCCCGGTACCGGGCATCCTCGTCAGTGGAAGACCAGGATCAGTGGCTTGGGGCAGAGCATGCGGCCTGGGAGCTGGCAGGGGGCGCGGCATGTGGCGTCATCGCTGGCAGTTGCAGGTGGGATAAACCGAGCAGATCACAGGGCCGCCGGGCGCCCGCATGACGGTCTGGGCACCTCCGACATCGAGCACATATTTCTTATAGAAACTATCGAGGTTGCAGAGCGGCCCATGTGCCCTGCCTGTGGCTCTTCAGACACCGGTGAGGGTTGCGGCATGGGGATCGCGTACAGAAGAAAGTCGGGCACGTTTTCGGGGCCTCGAGGGTAGCCGAGTCCTCATCCCCTCACCACTAAAGCCAGTCCAGGAAAGAGTATCTAACACAGGGGGCTGCGTTTTCGACATTTTTGTCAACACCACAATATGATGTTGCAATTATTGATATCTATGAACGCTCTGACATTTTCATTTGAGCATGTAGGGATCCAGCTGCACAGGACTGCGATGATGCCTGTACACATGGAAAGGCTCCACCAGCAGACACAGACGCCAATCTGGAACGTGTAGTCCAGTTCTGGGCTGGAAGAAAGCAATGTGACTTGCGGCTCTTGCCATGTCTTCATGGATCTATTCATTCTGCTCACAGGGTATTGCAGAACTATTACGGCTGCTGTGCACCTTCCCAGTATCGTGACTTAAAACTCGCACATCACCCCGTCCCCTACGCTGACCACCACCGATTGTGTGTCGGTCGTCGCTTCAGTATGTCGGAGCCAGAATCTTTTTCACTGGTCGGCCTCGAGGTGGTGGATGGTGTGGCCATCATCTCGCTGCAGAACCCTCCCGTGAACGCACTGCACCCGGATGGTGCGCCAGGCATTGCCATTCTACATTGTTATGAGGGAACTAGAGTGATCCTTTGACTCACATCTCATCCTCCCACCGTCCCTGGATTCGACAGTGCTGAACGGACTCTTCAAGACTCTGGAACGGTGCAATGCAGATCCCGACGTTGCCGCGTTTGTCATCACCGGCTCCTCAGGTTGGTGGGGCGCTTGGAGGCCTGCCGGGCGGCTCCCCCCCGCGCCTGGTAATGCTTCCCCTTGCCTGCTGCCCTCCGTGCACATGACCATGGCGCTGCATTCTCACCCCTCTGCGAGCCAACCGTTGCACGCATGACATGCGGTCCCCCACCGTCCCCTCTGGCATGCCCCTGCCCCTCCCCCCCCTCTCCACTCTCAGACATCTTCAGCGCGGGCATGGACATCAACCTCCTGCGCCAGCCCGGGCTGGATGTGGCCAGCGGGCGCCCCGCCGCCGTCGCCAACCTACGCCTGCAGCTGGAGGAGGCCGCCAAGCCCAGCGTGGCGGCGGTGACCGGAAGCTGCCTGGGCGGCGGCCTGGAGCTGGCGCTGGCCTGCACCGCGCGCGTGGCCGCCCACGACGCTCGGCTGGGCCTGCCGGAGGTGCGGCTGGGCCTGTGCCCCGGGCTGGGGGGCACGCAACGCCTGCCCCGCTTGGTCGGCCTGCAGCCGGCGCTGCGCCTCATCCTGTCCGGGGCGGCCATTGGGGCGGCGGAGGCCGCGACCCTGGGCCTGGTGGACGAGGTGGCGGTGGCCGGGGGGGCCTTGGTGGCCTCTGCCTCACGCCTGGCGCGGGAGCTGGCTGCCGCGCCGGACCACCCGCTGCGTGGCCGGGGGTCGCTGCTGGAGCGGGACGACCGCCTGCCGCCCCCCGCCGAGGCGGAGGAGCTGTTCGCCGCGGCGCGGGACAAGACCGCGCGGCAGTGGGTCAATCTGCGCTCCACGCTGCTCTGCCTCGACGCCGTGCAGTACGGCGTCGCCCACGGTGGCCGCGCGGGGGAAGACAAGGTTTGAGTGTTTTTGTAGTGTGGAGGGGGGGTGGGGGCCCTGGGTGTCGTCGAGGGATGAGAGGGGGTGCTGGTGCCAGCAAGCTTCCTGGGGCATGCCCAGCCCACCGGCGTGCCACTGCTTTCCTGCCCACATGCACCTGCACACATCCTTCTTGACCCTGGTGCTTGCAATGTGTGTATGTGCCCCTTCCCTCATTCCGCACGCAGGAGGGCGAGTGCTTCGGCAGCGCCCTGGCCCTGGACTCCCACCGCGCCCTGCTCCGCGCTTTCTTCGCGCACCGCGCTGCGCTCAAGGCCCGCGGCCCGCGCCGGGTCCGGCTCTGGGTGCAGTCCCTCTGGGCGCGGCTCGCCGCCCTGCTGGCCCTGCTGCTGGAGTGGTGGCGGCTGGGGGCAAGGAACACGGGCCTCCGCGTCAAGGAGCTGTGAGCGGGCCACGGGGGATCCGGGCGTGCCCCGCCTGGCGCAAGTTGTTCAGATGACCCCAGCCATGCAATCAGGCCGGCCTGGCCCGGCACAGTGCTGCTCCCTGCTAGCCTAGCAATCTCGCCGCCCCTCCTCTCCCTGCTCGTGCCTTGACTGGGCATCTCCTCTGCTGCCTTCTGCCTCCCATGCAGGAATCCACAGTGAGAGGTCCCCTTTCTTTCTGCTCCATCATCCCACCCCCCCAGTTCCCTCTCACATCACACGGTACGCAGAATGTTCACATGCCAGTCAGGTTTCGGCGCCCTGCAGCACCGGCAGCACGCACCGCCCCCACTCCTCGTCCCAGCCCCTCGCCCGCTCGGCCTCCGCCCCCCGTCGCAGCTCCACCAGCTGCCCCGCCCGCTCCGGCCAGCCCGCCAGCAGGCTCAGCAGCTGGGCGGCCAGGGCCTCCGCCGTCGCAAAAAGGACGCCGTTGACCCCGGGCTGCACCAGCTCCGTGATGGTGGGGTACTGCAGCGCGCACACGGGAACGCCGCTTCCAAACATGTCGACCACCTGGCGCGGGATGGGGCGCGCGAGGGTTGGGGTTATGGCGGGGGGACACCAATTGCAGGGCCGAGGCTGGCAGGGAGCCGATCTTGCGGAAGACGGAGGACTGCTTTGCTGGAGACCACATCACCTCCCCCAAACCATGGGCCAAAGGCCGGCAGGGATGTACACATCGCAACATCACCGACGCACCACGACTCCACCCCCTCCTCTCCCACCTCCGCCATCTGCCCATTCCTCCACAGCAAAATCCACCGCCCCCGCCGCGCCCCACCTTCATGGGCAGGTCCAGGCCCGAGCTGGAGGCATGCAGGCAGATGCCCAGGTCTGCCGACCCCAGCATCAGGCGGTAGTCGGGGGTGGAGAGCCAGAGCAGGCGGAAGGCGACGTGGGAGAACGCGGTGGCGTGCAGCCGCGCCTCGTACGCCGCCCGCCCCGCGCCGCGCCCCGTCACGACAAACAGGATGCGGGGTAGGGACTCCCCCTTCCGCAGGTCTCGGGCCTGAGAGAGGGAAGAGTGCAGAGAAAGAGGGGGGGGGAGGGGGTGCTCGGACAAGGGCGAAGCGTGTCAGGCAACAGACTGTGGGGACCATGTTTGATGAGCTGGTCATGGGCATGCCTGCGCGCACAGCATGCAAGAATGCTGGAGCAGTGTTGCGAACCTCGCATCTGTCGCTGGGCCCCTTGGTCGGTGTCTCATGCGCATTGGGCTCTTGGTAAGTGTCTCATGCGCATGGGCCCCTTCACGTTCCCCATGCCGCGATCCAGCCCCTCTCGTAGCCCGTGGATTACGGTTCAGGCCCCGTCCCTGCATTCTGTTCAGCCACCCTCCCTCCCTCCTAGCTAGACCCCACTGCCGCAAGGAGCCCTCCTCACCCCTTCTCCCCCAAACAAACCAAAAGGAAACTCCCTGCACCCTCACCCTTGCGTCGTACAGCTCGGCGGCGCGTAGGAGCAGCCCAAAGTCCTCGTCCGCGGTCCAGCTGGTGCTGCTGAGCACGAGGGCGGGGCGACCGCCGCGGCGCGCCGGCGCCTGGCCCGGGGCCGTGCGCACGGTCAGCGGCGTGGCGCTGCTGGCCGTGCCCGCCAGCTCCGCCGCCAGCCAGTCCCCCGGGTGCTGGGGGCGCGCCAGGTCGGGGCGCAGGCGCTGCAGCAGGGCGTGCGTCTCCTCGATCTTCGCGGGCCGGAGGGCCGGTGTCGGGCGGTCGTGGAAGACGGCGGCCGACACGCGCCATGCGCGGCTCAGGTCCACCGCCATGGCCCTGCTCACGCACAGGTGGGCGTGCGCGGTGGGCGCCCAGCGGCGCTCATACCGCCGCGCCAGGCGCACCTGTGCGGGCGGCAAGGGGAGCAAATGGAGGGGGAGGGCCATGGGCAGGTGGCGGAGGGGGGGGGGGGGGAGGGCCTTGGACCCTGCCATGCTTAGGGTAGGCGCAGATTCGGTTCCACCCCCCCGGCTGCAGCACAAGCTGCTTGGCAGCATGCGGCGCACATCCTGTGCGCTGCCATTGGTGCCTCGGAGGCGCACGTCGCCTTTCCTCCACCCTCCCTGCGACTGCGAGTTCACCACCCCCAAAACAAACAACAGCTTGCCAGGGGGTGGCGAGGCCCCATGCTCAGGCCCATCAGCGTGTAAGCGTAGTTGTGCCAGTCGAAGACGAGGCGGGCGCCGTGGCGCAGGGCCGCCGCCCGCAGGACCGCCATGGTGGGAATTGCGGGAGGGAGCTGGAGCAGGATGACGTCGGGGCGAGGAAGGGAGAATAATGTCAGCCAGGCCAGGGTGAGGAGCTGGTGCAGAGCCTTGAGGACGAGGCGGAGGGCCCGCGGGCAGCGCGCCAGCGCGGCAGGCCTGGTGAAAAGGGGGGAGCTGGGGTGGCCTGGAGGCGTGCGGGTCACTACGCTTCATCAATGGGAATGGGGAGCCAGGACATTGGTCATGGGGATCAGCACCCCCTGGCACCATCACCACACTGCCACCACCCAGCGCACGGCTCTGGGAGGTAGGTGACGCGCAGGCGGCCGTGCTTGACGTGGGCCTGGAGATCGTTTAGGATTGGGGACCCCCTCTGTCCGATCAGATCTATCGTGTACCCGGGCTGGTAGGGGGGGAGCGGCGGGGGTGGGTCGAGCGCCTGCGCAGATGTTGATTTCCATGGCACGCTCAGAGCATTGGTGCCAGGACGGTGCACTCAGGCGCGCTCGATTACCGTTTTGCACAGGGAGAGGGTGTGATACTGCATGCGAGGGCTGCGCCCCACATCCCCGAGAACGACCACCCACGCCCGGGGCATGGCAACTCGTCCAGACCGCTGTCCAGGGCCTGGGGCGTTCAATCGAAGCAGAATCTATATTCGAGCATTTCTTGAGGCCACATTTTCACGGCCTGATCGCATCCATTGTAATTACGCGCACTGAGAGCAAAGTGATCTTAAATATTCGGGATTCGCCACGGAGCATCAAGGTCCTGTTAACAAGGGGTCCATCCCGGTCCGGATGACTTCCACCCTCGTCCAAAGCCACTACCATGCCACATCAGGGATGGCAGCCCATAGCCCAGGGCCCGTGATGACAGCTGCCCCTCCCGCTGTTGAGGCCCAGCCTTTGCAGGCCAGACGGGCACTGTCAGAGCTCCAGGTGCGAGATCAGAGCTCGTACCAGGTATCGTATGATCTCAAATGATCCATACTGTCCCAAACCAGTCCCTGGTAATGTCCGACGCAGGCCGAGATTACAGCGGTGAAGGAGGCCCTGGCGGATGTCGACCACCTGAGGCAGGCCTGCATAGCTGCGCTGGGGCTAGGCGTACGAATGGTGAGCGCTGCTTTGGATATGGAGCAAGCATTTTCTGCCCTCCAAGCGGCATGTGACCAGGACCGGCTCTCTCCCTGCCTCCCCTTCATCACAGGAAGAGGCACACCCAGCTCCGACATTTTGCCGGGACCCGGGGAGGGCCGGTTCACCAGTGCCCGAAGCCCTGGCCAGTCCTGCCAGGGAGGCCTCCTCCCCGGCTTGCAGCGGCCAGGGAACGAGCGGCGGCGAGTGCAGCAGCGGGCAGGACGAGGACGGGGTGCCCCTGGCGATTCGAATGCGGCGCCTCGCGCAGCAGGCCCCGGCGCCCGCCCCGCCCCGCAAGAGGTCTAGGCTGGCGGGGTCACGCTCCGCCTCCCCGCCCCCGACCGCGCTCCAGGATGCAGCGGCGCGCTCCCACCCGCCCCCGCCCGGGAGCCCCACGCCCAGCCTCGCCAGCGACAGCGTGGAGGTGCTGCGCTGCAGCTCCCCCTCCCACGGCGCACAGAGCGCCGGCCACCGTGACAGCACGGGTGCGCCGGGCCGTGAGTCGCCGCAGGTCATCTTCCTGGACGAGGATGGGTGCGCCCAGTCCGCCGCGCCGGCGTCTGCCCGCCCAGGCGACGGCGCCCAGGATGGGCGGGCGGGGGGCGGCGCAGCAACGGGAAACCCCCGGCGGCCCCGGGCCCCGACTTCGCAGTGTCAGTCCCAGCATGCGGGGCTCCGGCCGAATCTGGGCAAGGGGGGCCTGGCCGGCCTCGGCATCCACAGAGGTGGGGGTGCAGGGAGAGCGGTTTGGGCAGGGCTTGATGGGGTTGCATGGCATGTCCGCTGCCCCCTGCCTGCTCCTGGCCCAATGCCGGCGACGCACAAGAGCCCGAGCACCCATCCCACAAAGCACGCCCGCCCCGCAGCGCGGTCGAGGGCGGGCCCTTCCCAGCCCGCCGCGCCGCCTGGGCAGCAGCAGGCCGCCGTCCAGGAGGCCGCGTGGAGGGCGGCGGCCGCCGCCTGGCGCCAGCGCAACGCGCCCTCGGCCAGCGAGCTGACGGCGGC